AATAGACTTCAAAGTAAAACTAATCAGAAGAGATAAGGAGGGTCACTTCATTCTGATCAAAGGAACAGTTAACCAAGAAGATATTATAATCCTTAACATATATGCACCAAATTCTGGTGTACCCAAATTCATAAAAACAATACCACAGACTTTAAGACACAGAATTAACTCCAACTCAGTAAAGGTAGGGGACTTCAATGCCCCCACTGTCTCCATTAGACATGTCAACTGGACAAAGAGTACAGAAATCTGAATTAAACGATATCACATATCAAATGGACCTAACATACATCTACCAAATATTCTACCCAAGCACCAAAGAATAGACTTTCTACTCAGTACCCCATGGAACTTTTTGAAAAATTGATCACACACTGAGCCACAAAACAAACCTCGACAAATACAAAAATATTGAAAAAATTCCATGCATTCTATTGGACCACAAAGCAATAAGGCTCAAAATCAACACTGGACAAAGTTCTATTCACTACATGAACTTGTGGCGATTGAACAACACACTCCTAAACAATGAGTGTGTCAAAGGAGAAATTAAGAAACAAATAAAAGAATTCCTGGAATTCAACGGGAAAGGACAATACAACACAACACAACCTCTGGGACACACTGAAAGCAGTTCTAAGAGGGAAGTTTATAGCTCTAAGTGCCTACATTAAAAAACTGGAGCCGGGCATGGTGGCGCATACCTTTAATCCCAGCACTTGGGAGGCAGAGGCAGGCGAATCTTTGTGAGTTCAAGGCCAGCCTGGTCTACACAGTGAGTTCCAGAACAGCTGGGGCTAAAGGAGACCCTGTCTCAAAAAAAAAGGAAAGAGCCCAAAGAAATGACCTTAACACTACAACTCAAGGCACTGGAAAGGCAAGAACAAATGAAACTCAAACCCAGCAGAAGAGAAGAATTAACAAAAATCAGAGCAGAAATTAATGAAATAGAAACAAAGAAAACAATACAAAGAATCAATGAATCTAAGAGCTGGTTCTTTGAAAAGCTAAACAAGATAGACCCTTAGACCAATTAATCAAAAGAAAGAGCAAATCCAAATCAACAAAATCAGAGATGAAAGGGGAAACATCACAATAGACACCCAAAAGATCCAAACCATTATAAGGGAATATTTTAAAAACCTATATGCTACTAAATTTGAAAGTCTATTTAAATGACCTCCAAACAATGCTACTTAAATTATTCAAAATGATAGAAACAGAGGGAGAAATCCCAAACTCCTTCTATGAAGCCAGCATCACTCTAATACCCAAACCGGTTAAAGACACAACCAAAAAAGAAAACTACAGACTTATATCCTTAATGAACATATATGCAAAAATTCTCAACAAAATAGTTGCAAATCGCATACATACACACATCAGAAAGACCATTCCCCATG